TTGTCAACTGGAGAAAAATTCTTTAGAAACATCATATTTTCTTAAATGTGGTATTTTTTCAAATCAACAGCACCTTGAAGTACTCCATAGCAAACTTATGATTTAAGCTGACGATTCACTTTGCAAATTTGGCGGTCGGGAACGGCCCCCATCTTTAAGATTCTCCATTTGAAGTTGACAAAGACTCGGCTAAATCCAGGGTAATGCAAAACTAGATATTCAGGACGATAGAACATGAATCCCGGTTATGCCATAAACTCGGCCCATAACCTTGACAGCCGAGATTCTCGCAGAATATCATATTTGTCATGTCAACAATAAAAGAGAAACGAAGTTTCTGAATAAATGAGTTTATTTAAAAACATTAGTAATAAAGAATGTCACAAACAGAGTGACGAAAAGAAAGAATACAAAATGATCTGCTTCAACAGAAGCTTAAATACAGATAGCAGGTCACGTCATGATCCACGCAAGAACGACCAACAGCAAATGAAAATAAACTGGCCGATCCCCGCAGACCATGACGTCACCGACGCAAGTTGAATGCATGAGATCGACGACGGAAAATCGAACCTCATACCTTTTAACTTCTATTATTTGTCTAACATCTTCTCTGCATAGTGCGCAAGAGTTCACTAGGCTTTCTGTCACCTAGCTGCTCTCCGGAAAGTAAACGTCGAATTTCCTGGGACTTTGTTTCCCCGCAGCGTGCAATAATTTCTTCTTTCAGCTTTTTGAAAGGATCTTCTGCGTCAGGAGTTATAATGACGTCCGTTACAACTGCGGCTACTTCAGGAGGAAGATGGGCGAGGCAGTAGTTAAACTTTGTTTTGCTCTCTGAAATCGGCTTCGGTGTCGCAAGCTGGAAAGTTGCTTCGACCATATTGAACCACAGGTGTGGATCAGAAATATTGAATACGATGAGCGGCGAACCTATCACCACAGATTACTGTAATCGACTATGTAATCATGATTACCGCTGTAATCAAACTTTGTAATCACGATTACAAGTAATTGATTACTGTAATTAATATTGTAATCATGATTACAGCTGTAATCAAAATTTTTGAAAATTGTAATCATGATTACAAGTAATTGATTACTGGAATCAAAAAATGTAATCGATTACATTTTTGGCCAACTCTGCTTTCTACCGCATCAAGCCACATTTTTCTAGGATATCTGACATTTCTCTTTTCATCTAGTTTTTCTGTTTAGATTTTCTTTGTTGCTTTTTTCTCACTTTTTTCTGTAAACATAAAAGTTATCATTTGTAAATAAAATACTTCTCAAAATTGAAATTATTTTATTTTTTGGTTAAAATGTTCTTAAAACTTGTGTTAACTTACACATTTTTATTTTTTCTCTGTTCAGAACTATACTAAATTAAAATTATTTGTTTTTCAGTTGTTACTTCTAATGCTGCTAGCGATGGCTGTACAGTTGTGAGTAGTTCAAGTCATATGGGAGGTGCTAGTCAAGGTCAGTAACACTAATAGATATTTATGAAAATTTCATACGTTGTCATGATATTTATACTCTTGAAATTGTCTTTAATTTCTACTGTTGATCACTGTTTGTTAAAAATCAAATGCTTTCAGATACTATTTAGTGATAAAAACTATAATTTCTGATTTTGTTTTAGAGATATTTGGTTTTAATGTAAACAAGTAGATGTGAAACATTCTTTTTATCACAGAAAATCTATATCTGATTTAGTTTGAAGCAATTTTTACTGTGGGCACTTTGTTCTTTTTTAGCTTGAGCTTGAAGTACTGATTTTTTTTAAAATATCGTTAATATGATTTTAAAAAAAATTAAATTTTTGTATATTTGCTAAGTCAAAAAACTTTTTTATGACTTTTGTGTTAGGTATTGACCTAACATAAAGGGCTAAGTCCCACATATGTGGCATAACACAACACACACACATTGGCCATTGACCTATTGTTAAGTCAATGTGACTCAAGGCATGTGTAACCAATTTTGTTAATTTAAATTTTTAATATTTTTTAGAGTTGAGCCTTGATTCACTGTTCCTACATTTTTTATTTTCCTACATGAATCATCTTGTTGTAACAATTCTGTCCTACATGCTGGACTTATAATGTTAATAATATCAGTTTAGATCATATATGAAACTATTTATTCCCATGTCTATCATTCAGAAATTTATTAAAAAATTTTGAGTGGAGAAACAGTATAACTTCTAATGCTTGTAAAGACGAAGGAAATGATAAGTTTTCCTCAATTATCCTGTTTGATGTCTACACACCAGTTGTTGAAACTTGTGGTGTTAGCAGTCCAATAAATAATTGCAGAAGCTGTAGAAGCAAGAAAAGTGATAAAGATAGCAGAATTTGTAACAGTCAGAAACTTTCTATATAACTTTATATATATATATATAAATGGAGAAATTAGGTATAATTGAAGAGATAATTGGAAGAGGTAGCATTTTAAAAACACTTAACTTTCCAGTTTTCAGAACACATTATGATCTGTATAAAACATTAATTTATTTTATCAAATCTTTGAACTAAGTGAATTTTAAAAAAATGATTTAAGTTTCCAGACATAAAATTCTAAAGTTAATTATCTCAAATACAGTAAAACATCACAAAGTATTTTTCCATGAAGCTCTTTAGTCATTTATGAAATATGATGCATCTTTATAAATACTAAACATATAACTCTTGAGTGTAAATTAAAATATATTTCTTTAAAAAAAAACTTTTAAAATTGAACAAAATTCAAAGACTGATAATAACAAAAGCGGCAAACTATGTTATGTATATATATATATATATATAAGCACAAATAATAATAAAAAATAATATAAAATAGAAAACTATTAATGTGAAAAAACCACAAGTTTTCCTCAGGACACATCTTTTGGTATAATTTAATGCAATGTTTCTGAATAAAAAACAATTATCCTTGTATATATACAGATGGGTGACAAAATAATATGAACACCTGTGAAATATCAGAAAATCTTTATTAATAGGGAGTTTGACCACCCTTTGACTGAATTACAGATTTAATACGATGTGGAATCGATGCATAAAGGTCATGAACAACGTTTAAAGGAATATTAAGCCATTCCTCTTGCAAAGCGGCCTCTAATTCCGAAAGATTTGATGGAATTGGGAATCGGGAATGAAGTTTAGACTCCAAATATTGCCACAAATGTTCAATAATATTTAAGTCCGGAGACTGAGGGGCCAGGCGAGATGCTCAACTTCATTGTCATGCTCTTCGAACCATGCTTGAACGCACCTAGCGGTGTGGATGGGGCGTTGTCGTCTTGAAAAATCAGTCGCTCTCCAGGGAATACAGTCTGTACAAAAGGATGTACATGATCCGCTAGAACGCTTAGATAGTCATTAGATTTGATTCTCTCATGCAGACAGACGTACTAGTGGCCCGAGACTACGCCAAGATATTGCACACCAAACCATAATATAGCCATCTCCATGTTTCACAGTTGGTAGGAGGCATTCAGGATCAAACGCTTCTTTGGATGATCTCCAAACATAAACGCGTCCGGTGGTCTGAAATAAGGTGAAGGATGATTCATCGGACCATATTACCTGCTGCCACTGCTGTGGGGAGCAGCCTTTGTGACCTCTACACCACTGACGACGCTTGAAAGCATTGGTTGCTGTCACCAAGGGTTTACGAATTGCCACTCTCCCATAAATGATTGCTGCATGAAGTTCTCTTTGAACAATTCTTGTTGAAACGGGGTCCTGAGGATGACTGTTCATGTCTGATGTTATCTCGGATAACGATTGCTTGTGTTTTCGAGCTACTACGCGCTGCAAGACATGTCTATCCCTATCATCAAGCTTTGACTTTCAGCCACTGTTTTGCTTTGAAGACTTCGTCTTACCTTCTTTCATGTATGCTGTCATAACGACTGATACAGTACAGTAGGGAACCGATTATCCGGAACGATCGTGACCATCAATATTCTGGATAACTGATTTTTCCGGTTTTCTGAATCGCTGCAAAAAGCCATTTTTTTATTGTTAAATCCAACCAAAAAAATGAAAAATTTGGAAATAATCTTAAAAAGAAGAAAAAACGATGAAGTAATACACTAATGATTATTTCCAAAATGATGGTAAGGTAAACATCTTTCAAAAAAGAAAGAAAAATCCTAAAATCTTATAAGGAAAAAAACATTTTTTTAAAAAAATGGCAGGAAAATGTATCTAATTTCGTTGCGGTTTTTTGGTTTTCTGATTTCCGGATATCGGGTTCTATACTGTACTTCTTGCAAACCCCAAAAGGTTTGCTGTTTCTGTCACCGATGCTCCACTGAAATGCGCCCCAACAATCATCCCTCTTTGGAATTCTGACAGGTCAGACATTTCACCTTATAAAAGCTAGTTAGATAAACTCATGCAACACAGGTGACTAATGTTGAGAGACTGATAGCTTCCTCTTCACGCTCACTAGGTGGCAAACTTCTGTTGCAGGTGGGGCGGCTGTACTGCAGGTGTGAAATAAGTTGCACTTTTTCGCAGGTGTTCGTATTATTTTGTCATCCATTTGTATATATATTGTTTAGTATTACTTATTGCGCAATTTTTCTTCAGAAAAATATAAATATAGGTGGCATGTAAAAAGCATGTTTTCAACTTGTTTTTTAGGAATTGTTAGAATGTCTCGCTTGTCATATAATCCCTTTGCCATTAAGACTTCAATTCCCACCAGAAGCGTGGCTGATAGCACAGATAACAAAGGTAGTATTTATTCATTCAGGTGTGGTTAGATCATCTTATATTAAATTGAAAGTTATAATAGTTTTTGTTTGATATCTATATTTATTCAGTCGATATAACAACCAAACGAAAACAGGTGTTATAACTTGAGGTCACTCTATCAAGACTACGTATAATTTGTGCAAATATTTACTTATATTTCATATATATTAGACTTATTTCGGCAGAAACCTGTTAAAATTTAAGTAGAATTATGAAACTGACAAATATGCTGTTGTTTTATCTCAAGTGCAAGTATTAATTAATTTTTAATGTGAAAGATTAGAAATAAAATTTAAAAATTTTTCTAATGGCTAGTTTTAATATTACTTTCAAACTTAAACAAGTCATTTTCAAACTTAAACAAGTCATTCATTGCTCTTTCTAAATTTTGCTTCATGAAATTGGAACACTTTTTTCTTCTGCCTCTAGAATTACAATACTTCTGTATTCTGAGTTGGCAATGTTTGATTCATTCTTAAATGCGTGTTGTTTACTTTTAAAAATAAAATGGTAAAGCAAATATACATTTTTAATTAGTATCTTACTTAAACCTAAGAAATAAGTTTTTTCCTGAAACAAATGCATTTAATGCTAAAGCATTTCTAGATTTTGCTTACAGAACAACTGATTTTAAGAAGGTATACGTGAAGTAAAATATAATTATATAAATTTGTGAAACATTTTAAAGAAATAGATTTCTGTTGTAAACTATTAAATAGATTTGTATTGGCAACAGCTGTTTTGTTGTCAGATTCATATTTTGACCTTGTAATAAAATACATTTTTTTCTAAAGATCGACTTGCAGCTTACTTATAGGATGTTATGATGTATATTCTTGTTGTCTAAATTTTTTTTCATTACAAATCAAATGATAGGAATTATTTTATTTATTGAAATAAGAATTTATGATAATCTTGTAAGTTTTGTTGTTTTTCAATTTTATATGAATTCAGGGTATGATTAATGTGCTTTGGTAAAAAGAGTAAAATCTCCAGCTAATGTTTCAAAATTCTTGGGGATTCACTCAATATTATAGGGTAATTCTGTTCATAGCCAATTTTTTCTTTTCTTCTTTTTATTTTATTCAAGCCTTTTTAGAAATTAAATAAGTGAGAGCACTTCTATCTAAGAAAATGCACTAAAAAAATGCAACTTTGGAAGATACTTTTATATACAATGAAATTTCTCTGGTTATCCAAGCAAACCCAGCTAACTGTTTATTTCTATCTTCATATGTTTTTCTTTATTATGTTTTTTTCAAGTCAATCATTTTTATGATGTCGGGTAAATTTTGATGTATTATCATGAATTAAAATATAATGGGTTCTTAAAAATATGATATCAAATCACAATAGAATAAATTTTTAATTTTGTTTTATTATAATTTTTTTGTGCAATTTTTTGCAAAGTTAAAAAAAAAGCTGTTTTAATGACCGAATCATCCCATTTGACCTAACTGATGAATTTATATCTCTGATTGTAAAATGAGCGTATTAATAAATAAATTGTTGTATCTTTACTATAGAGACAAGGCCAATTGTTGCACCTCCTACCTTAAAATTAGGAAATTCTGGTAATTACACTTACATAAATTGCTTTTATAACTTTTTAAATTTCAATTAAATACAAATGAATATATTTTTTAAAGATTCTTGTGGTATTTCAACATCTCTCCAAGATAGTCTGGCAACAATTACTGCTCCCAAAATAGTCTTGAGACCCTCAGCTTTATCAATGCAAGCAGAAAAGTTGAAACTTTTTAGTAAGCATGATTTTAGTAAGTTTTAGTTTCTATTTTAGAGGTTATCTTATAATTGCTGCCCTTAAAAGTTTCATAGTGTCTGAACAACGCAAACACTTTTGTAGAAAAATAGTCCCTTTTTAAGCTCTACTTAATGAATATTTCTGTGTATTTGACATAGTAATACTTGACTGACATATTTTCTTTCCCTTACGTGTGCTCCTAAGGCGATAAAAAGTTTCGCCAAAGGATCTAGTGTCTTAAATCTTCATTATATTTTCAAACTTGGTAAATAAAAGATAACAAAAACATACAAAAGATCATTACATTATAAATAAACCTTTTAAAACCCCTAAAATACTTAAAAATTTCAGACGTACAGTGGAATGATAGAGGCCAAACTGTCAAAAAAGTACTGCTTAGAAATGGACTAATCTACTCCTGTTAAATACGTTTGTCAAGTGACGCCTAGAAGGAAAGCCGAAATCGGGTAACCATTACTTGGTTGCAGTTAATCAAAAGTATTTCAGGAAATCAGCTTATCAATTAAAGGTTAAAAATGTTAAGTTAAAACTGAGAAAACTAACTTGAGCCAGAAAGTTCAGATTTCAAACAAAAAACTAGTAAACTAAGTTGATATAGTTAAGCTATTGAAATTTTAATGCAAGCATTGAAGGTTTTTAAAATTATTTATCTTTTATTAGATGTCACTAGAAACCGCCGAATGTAAATGTGTATGCATAGAATTTAAGTATGTAAATGTATTTACCTGTGCAATTTATATTTGTTTGGTTTCAGTATAGTTTAATTGTATGACATGGATATTTTTCAAAAAGACTTTGATAGATAAAATAAACAAGCGTAGAGTCTTGTAAATTTCATGTTTTGTTTATTGGCACTCTTAAAAATTATAAGTGAACTCATTCATTATTTTTTTGCTAAATGCAGGGTATCCGCACACCTGGAAAGTCATGAATTTCGGTATTGAACAAAATTTGTTATGAAATGTCATGATTTTAACTATTTTTTTAAAAAAGAAATCATGGAAAGTCATGGATTTAGGTTGCCGAAAAATTTGTTTTTTAAAATTGAATTTACTCTTCCCCATTTCATGGTGTTCCGATTATCTGAATTTTTAACGAAATTCCCACTAACAGTCATATTTTATTAAAATATAAAATATTTTTATCATGTTCTTTAAAAATTATGGTGCTCTTTCAATAAGAGAAAGAAAAAATATAATTTCTAGAGTGAATTATCTTTGAAACTTCTGTGATTTCAGAATTTTTATTATTTATTTTTTTTATTTTATCAATTTTAAATTTTAGCTGAAACAAGCCAGTCATTGGCGAATTTTTTTTAAAATTCCAAAATGAGAGCAGAAAAAATTAGGAGTATTTCTTTTCTTTCTGATGAACGAGAAAAGTATCTTTAGAATATAATTCTGCAGAAAAAAAGGAAAAAAAAATATTTGCTTTTGTATTTTTTTTCAGCTATTTTATTGCTTCAACTCTTTCTTTACTCTGTTTTTTAAATTTAAAATCTATAAATATGAAGATGTAGAGTATAACAGTTTTGGATATGTAGTGAGCTCTCACTTATGCACCGGTGTAAGGGACCAACAGAAAAAGCGCATAAGTGAAAGAGACGCATAAGTCAGGGATGAGATTTTTCCGCTTTTTAGCGAATTTCCGCTTTTTTCACTTTTATCTCTTAAATTTCAGCTTTTTTTTTTATCAAAAATTCAGATTTTCTAAAAATTTCATTTTTTTTTATAAGTATTCCGCTTTTTCAGAAAATTCACCGATTTTCAAGGAGAAACAGAAAATTCAAACTACATAGCTGCCAATCCTTTCTCATTTTTACTTATTTTACCTATTTTCTCCCCTTTTACATGCAGCAGATAAGATTTTCCAAATTTTTTACCCGCCCTCCAGATAGATCCGATTTTCGTAGTTCAAACGACGCTGCTTCTGACAAGCCTTTTAGAGGTCCCAAGCCTGGAATCTGCTAATTTCTCGATTCTTATTCACACGATTTTAATATCAAACATAGCTTTTCATATTTGCGTGTTGCGATTCTTATTCACGCGATTTGAATATTGTACGTTGCGATTCT